GTCAGGGCCATACCCCCCCCCCCCCCACCCCCCCGGTAACCAGTCAGCAACTGAGTGGGGTTCACCCCATGGCCAACTGCTTCAACTGAGGGTGGGGAGGTCCCTATGCCAGCTGAGAACCGGCTGTGGCACTCCCAGAAGTGGCCATGGCACTCCCGTTCCTCAGCCGGTGCTTGCAGGGCGGTACTGGCACTCCCACCTGCTCCCCCTGCCTGCCACCTGAGCGGGGCATGCAGCCTGTCCAGGGGTGCACCAGTGTTCTCAGGGGATGCACCCCCTGTGCGTTACCACTGAGCAGCACAGTGACAGCCGTCGTCCCTGTGCTTTACCTGTCATGAGTTAGTGTGCTTTTGGTATCTTTGGGCAATATCTCTTGTAGTTGTGTGACTGTAATAGTTTCTTGTTTAGATAGGGATGATCCTGCCTAAACTAGATGAGGGGTGGCCAACCTGCAGCACATGTGCCAAAGGTGGCATGAGCAACCTCTGTGGCACATGGCAGATGGGGGAATCGGAAAAGACAGCACAGCAGCAGATAGGACAGGAAACAGAAAGCAGATTGGGTGGGGGAACGGGTTTGGAGAAATACTTGAGGATGGTATTTTGTAGCATGCCTGCAAAAAGAGTTGTGTGCCCCCCCCTTGGATTAGATAACCTCCAGAGCTTTTCAGCCCTATTTTTCTTTGATTCAGTCAAGACACTAGTTTTGAAAAGGAAAAAAAAGGGGGGAGGAGGGGAGTACAGATTAGCAAATAGCAGAGGAACAAAATTATATACTGCTGTTTAGAAAGGTATTTAGATGTGGTTTGGTTAACTTAACTCCCTATCAGCCCACCACTGCTTATGTTCAGTGGATCCTGACCAGGATGAATGTAAGAATAGTCCAGGAATCTGAGCTGTCCTCTGCAGCTTTAGAGACCTAGGCTCATGTACTTTTATAACTTACAAGTTCTATATCCCTTTTCTGTGTGCCTCTGTTTCCCATCTGGAAAATGGAAGTAATGGCACTTTCCAGCCTCACCAGGATAAATGCACTGAATATTGTGAGTAGCTCAGCCGTACATGCAGTTCTTGCAGATACTTGTATCTGGTAGTTTTTATTTTTAAATTTTAAAAGACAGCATTTAAGAACCTGATCAAGTTTATTCCAGAGGTGAAGATGAATGCTTCAGCATTCCTACTTTTGACCAATGAGTATGCACTGGGTGCATCTACATCACTGGAGTGATGAGCTATAGCTATATAGCTCATTGCTATGGCAACATATAATGTCTGTAGGCACAAACCTTGATGCCAATGCTACTGCTCAGTAGCATCAGAAATGACCCATGAGGTGCCAGGACTGCATAAGTAGGTACTAAATGATTGTGCAGTAACTACTGCTCAGTTTGGCGTAATGTGTGGACGTACCACTGTGAGCAAAGCCAGCTAGAAATATACTCTACCCTTCAGAGCCGTGCATGTTATAAGGTCATCAATATGGTCTTGAGTAGGTTAGCTTTTATGGGAGGAATGGAAAGTTTGTAACAAGTAGAAAATGCTTCAAGCTATTTAAGTTGATACTCGGTGTGGAAGGTGGAGAACCTGCGTAAATAAGGTTACTGGCTTTTGTGCTGCCTTGTATTTAGTTCTGGGCAACTTAATTCTTTCAGTTGCGGCCAGATAACTGGCATGGGGCTGGGTCCATCGTGTGTCCCAGACGGCCCAGAATGGGCTCTGTGTACAGTGTAGGATGTCAACTTGGAGACCCATGGGTAGCACGGGGTGCTGGATGATAGGGCATCACAAGATGGATCCAGCCCACAGGTCATATCTTTTAACACCTCTGCTTTACATTGATAGAGTTCATGCAGGTTTAGAGTTGAAATAACTTCCTCCTTAGCCTTAAGTGGAATGACTGTAGAGGCCTACCATTCAAATTTAGAATACTTTTCTTTGTCCAGTTCTTTCAAGCTTTGGTTTGAGTCTTCAATAGAGAGATCATTTGGAGAAAGGCAGGCATACTTAAGTTTCCTAAAGTGATATTAAATATACAGTGTTGTGATAAGATGGGGGTGGGCTGGATGCAGCCTGCCAAGCTATTCTATCTGGCCCG